AGAGTTCTGAGAGCTGATTGGGGGGAAGGGACACACCCTCCTCCACACACACACAGGAACAGAGCAGAGGCTGTCAATCAGCTGAAGATCCCTCCCTTGTCCCCATTTTTCTCTTAGTGTCAGGAAAACTTGTCAGAAGTGATTCATACTGATAGCAGAGAAAAGAGGCAGCAGAGAGAAATTGTACTTAGTGCTCTTAATTGAGACAAGTACACACTACAGAGGGATATGCTTTGTTCATATTTCATGTTTGAGCTTTACAACCACTTTAGAAAAGAGAAAAGAAATGTGCTTCACACTGTAGCCTGTTGCCCATGAACTGACAGTAGTCCACAAACGTTTTAACATGCTGTGCTGTGTGTATGAGACCTAAGCTGTCCGGTGCATTAACCACTGTTCTTTTTTAAAACGGTTGAAAGAGAAGCTGACCAAGCCGGGGTTCAGAGACCCGGTACTCTATCCCAGGCTTTCGTTTTATGTGGATGATGACAGGTTGGATTGCCTTCTGGTTTCTTAAATATCTCAGGACTCTGACAGCAAGCTCTCTCTATCCTAATTCTCAGATCCACCCACCTGTCACTGCAATATTGTTCCCTTCATTCTCCATATACTGTACATTTTGGAGAGAGATTTAAAACAGTCTCCGAAATGTCTATCTGTGTTATTATGGCTCGCTCACGGAAAGCAAACTGCTTCATTTGCGGCAATAATGATGATGACAATCTTCGCCATTACCGCGTCTCCTCACCCTCTGGACTAAAACATTACTTTTTTTTTTCCCTCATTAGAATACATATTTACTGTATATTACCTATTACAAATGTGCAATGGAGTTACAGCAAAGCAGATAAGATGCTATAATATGTTTCTAAATGAACTAATAAACATCATCCCTATACTTTTTCTTTTCTTATTTTCAGTCTATTCTTATTAAAGCGTATCTAAACCCAAGAACAAAAATGTAATGTATTGAAGCCTACCGGTCCTTTGATGGAGTAGCTGCATTCCTTTCTTTTTTTTTTTTTTAGGCTTACTTTCTTTAGGGTCCTTTCACATGAGGCGGACCCATTTATCAGATCCGCTTGCTCAGTGAGGGATCCCTGCTGAGCAAGCGGATGAAAGGTCTGTGTCTGCTCCGCTGCTGCAGAGCAGACAAAGAGCTGCTCGCTCTCCTGAATGCCCGGTCGGATGAAAACAAACCGCCTGTCCATTTCCATCCAACCCGATCCAACGGATGAAAGGGGAATTGGATCCCATTCTTTTTTTTTTTTTTTTTTTTTTAGGCTTACTTTCTTTAGGGTCCTTTCACACAAGGCAGACCCATTTAGCGGATCTGCTTGCTCAGTGAGGGATCCCCGCTGAGCAAGCAGATGAAAGCTCTGTGTCTGCTCTGCTGCTGCAGAGCAGACACAGAGCTGCTCGCTCTCCTGAATGCCCAGTCTGATGAAACCAGACCGCCTGTCCATTTTCATCCAACACGATCTGACGAATGAAAGGGGAATTGGATCCCCATCCATCCCTTTTTTTGCGGATCGGATGTTGCCGGGTGTGAATGGACACGTCCATTTACACCCGCCGTTCCATAGAGGAGAATGGAAATTCCGATCGGGTCCGCCTGAAAATTGGGCAGGTGGACCCGATGTGAACATCTGTGTGAAAGAGCCCTAAGTTTAACCTGGTGCTCCTCCCAGTAAAACACTTTCAGCTCAATTGACAAAGCTACGCACCAGGATAACAGCCCATTCACACTAGCCACATGCTAAAATACTTTATATTAGCATGCAGGCTAGTGTCCACTGTGACAGTGCAAGGTACTCTTTCAGCGCATTGCAGGGTTTACTTTTTTTTTACTTTATTGAAACATGACAAATGTAAACTTCATTTATGGTCTCCACATAGCAGCATGCTGGGACACACTGTGGTGCGGCGACCTGTAATGCCATCCGACGTGTTGCAGAAAAATGCAGCATATCTGCATTTTTCCACACCATACTATTGTTGTGTGAATAGGGGAAGACAGAAAACAATTGTTTTCTATGTGTCCTTGTACTGTCTGGCGTTGGTCAGGTACAGAAAAATGCAGCACGCATAGCGTGAAAAGTGGAATTAAAGTTAAAGTGGAACTAACCCATAAGAGACTCAAATATTGCATTTGTAAAATCCTTCTAGCAGTGGGGTGCTCTGTATTTTTACTAATTTTGCTGGTACGGGGTACTACGGAGCCCCACTTCTGCTTTTTTCTGATTTGGGATAGGTGGGATGGGTTCACTCCGGTATTTTTTTGTTTTTGTAGGTTTACCTTTTTTTAGTAGTATATTTTGGTTGGGGTACACATATATATACTGTATATTTATATATAATGCTACATGCGAGTATCTGACTACCTACTCTATAGTGGTTGAGAATATTTGTCACTGTCCTTTTCTGGGATGATGAATTGGGTTGGGTACACTATTTTGTACAATATTGATGTTGCTATTGAATTGTACCTTTGCTTTGCACTGATTACCATACATTTTTGAATATGCCAACTTATACTTTTTGCTGTATAAGTATTTGCATGTGGCAATAAAAGCATAAAAAAAAAGTTAAAGTGGAAACTAAGCCCTCCTATTTTTTACACCCAATAAAGCTGCCATCTTGGCCTCTGTGATCTACAATTGCCATGGTGTTGCACATGTGATCAGTTATGACACCAACCATTTCAGCCCCTGTTCACATTATGCGGAGCAGGACACCGCATGTAATTTGCACAGGAATCGCACCGCATTCCTGTACGAGTTACATACAAGTGTCTGTGAAGTGCGATTTGAGCCATACACTTTGTATGGTTTAAATCACATCATATCTACACAGGAAAGTTGCAGGACCCTTTTTTAAATCTGCATCTGAATTGCATTGCATGGGTGTTCTCGCCTATGCGATTTCTGGCAATCGCATCATGTTTTGCGATCTGTTTCGTGGTGTAATTAATTTATCATTGACACCCGCCCCAGTTCGCAGGAACGCAATGCAATTGCAATGCAGAGCAGGAAACACGGGATTGGCAGAATGTCCTGCACTGCATTGGTGTGAACCAGGTCTGAAGGTTTGATGGTTCAGTTGAGAGCACAAGCACCTGCGACAGTTATCATTCACAGCATGCCCTGAATGTAACAGTTTTGGGAAGCTATTAAATCATTGAGTTTTGGGAAGCCATTTGATGATTTGAGCCCGGGTTCACACTAATGCGGTGCATGGCGTTCATGCGATGTGTGAACCCGGTGTGAGTGTCAATGATAAATCAATGACACCCTGAAACAGATTGCAAAACGCAATTGCAAGAAATCACATCGCATGGGTGAGAACACCCATGCCATTTTGATTCAGAAGCAGATAGAAAAAGGGTCCTGCACCTTTTTGGTGCAGATGTGATGCGATTTGAGCTATACAAAATGTATGGCTCAAATCACACCGTACAGATATTGCTTGCAATTCGCACAGGAATGCGATTGACTCCAACAGTGAGGCACTATTCCTCCCACTGACTCCAACAATGAGGCACTATTCCTCCCATGACTCCAACAATGAGGCACTATTCCTCCCACTGATACCAACAATGAGGCACTATTCCTCCCACTGACACCAACAATGGGCACTATTCCTCCCCTGACCCACGCAATCTCCCACTAGAATCAATGATGGAGCACTAGTCCTCCCACTGACACCAACGATGAGGCACTAGTCCTCCCACTGACACCAACCAAACAATGAGGCACAACAATTCACTATTCCTCCTACTGACACCAATGATGGCGCACTATTCCTCCCACTAGAATCAATGATGGAGGCGCTAGTCCTCCCACTGACACCAACTGAGGCACTAGTCCTCCCACTGACACCAACGATGAGGCACTATTCCTCCCACTGACACCAACGATGAGGCACTATTCCTCCCACTGACACCAACGATGAGGCACTAGTCCTCCCACTGACCCCAACGATGACACAAATGATGGGACACCAACGATGAGGCACTATCTCCCACTGACACCACGACAAGGCACTTTTATACTGACCCGCTGGCCATCTCACTGACTCCAAGACATTTTATACTCCCGCTGGCCACAGTCCAGCCCTCTGAAAATTTGTAGAACAGTAAAATGGCCCTTTGTTTAGAAAGTTTGCAGACCCCTGTAATAGTGGAATCCCATCATACTGGCCACAGAATGTATGCAGATCCAGGAGCTCCAAATCAGGTAACTTACTAATAGAGTCCTTAAGCAATAAAAGAAACTGAAAAAGCAGTATTAAACCCAAAAACATATTACTTATTTTAGCTTACCAATTCTTAGGTGTGATGGCTGCATTAGTTTTCTTTTTTTAGGTTTTCTTTCTTGTGATCTGGTGGTCCCGCCAGTAAGTCTGTTGTTTTTCAAAAGCTGTTTTGCAAATTGTATCAGTTACAGGGTTGAAACAAGCCTTTTAACACTGACAGGGATGCTTACAATGATTACCATATTTTTTGCTCCATAAGACACATCTGACCATAGGACACACCTAGGTTTTAAAGGAGGAAAACAAGAAAAAAAATATTCTGAACCAATGCACTGCAGACATAGTAAAGGAAATTACCAGAGACTGTGGATGTACTATGGGAAATGACCAGAGACTGCAGACATAGTACAGGAGATGACCAGAGACTGCGGACATAGTACAGGAGATGACCAGAGACGGACAGTACAGGATGACCAGAGACTACGGACATAGTACAGGAGATGACCAGAGACTGCAGACATAGTACAGGAGATGACCAGAGACTGCGGACATAGTACAGGAGATGACCAGAGACTGCAGACATAGTACAGGAGATGACCAGAGACTATAGACATAGTACAGGAGATAACCAGAGACTGCAGACATACTACAGGAGATGACCAGGGACTGCAGACATAGTACAGAAGATGACCAGAGACTGTGGATGTACTAAAGGAGATGACCAGAGACTGCAGACATACTAAAGGAGATGACCAGAGACTGCAGACATAGTACAGGAGATGATGACCAGAGACTGCAGACATACTACAGGAGATGACCAGAAACTGCGGACATACTACAGGAGATGACCAGAGACTGTAGACAGTACAGGAGATGACCAGAGACTGCAGATAGTACAGGAGATGACCAGAGTCTGCAGACAGTACAGGAGATGACCAGAGACTGCAGACATCGTACAGGAGATGACCAGAGTCTGCAGACAGTACAGGAGATGACCAGAGACTACAGACAGTACAGGAGATGACCAGAGACTGCAGACATACTATAGGAGATTACAAGAGATTGCGGACATAGTACAGGAGATGACCAGAGACTGCAGACATACTATAGGAGATGACCAGAGATTGCAGACATAGTACAGGAGATGACCAGAGGCTGCAGAGATAGTACAGGAGATGACCAGAGACTGCAGACAGTACAGGAGATGACCAGAGACTGCAGACAGTACAGAGATGACCAGAGACTGCAGACAGTACAGGAGATGACCAGAGACTGCAGACATACTACAGGAGATGACCAGAGACTGCGGACAGTACAGGAGATGACCAGAGACTGCAGACAGTACAGGAGATGACCAGAGACTGTGGACATAGTACAGGAGTTGACCAGAGACTCTAGACCTTTGGGGAGCGGGTACCCGAATTTGACAGGTACCCGCTCCCACTTTTGCTGCGATAGCCTAGGCGATCGAAAGCGGGCGATGACCTCCCCCCCATCCCTCCCTGTAGTCTTCTGGGACATGTGACAGGTCCCAGAAGACTGCAGGGCCATTCACAAAGCGCAACACTTCTCATGCATGATTAGTGGGCACTTGGCTGTGAAGCTGCAAGCTGTCACAGCTGGTTGCCCACACTAAAGATGCCAGCGCCAGGGAGAGAAGACGGCCAGTAAAACCAGCAGTGATGAGGACACCGCTGGACTGAGGAACAGGTACTATTGCACAGAAGAGCTGAGCAGCCGGCCTGGTATTCTAACACGGTGGCGGCGACGGGGGGGAATACTGGACCGGCCGCTTCATATTTGCTCCATAAGACACACAGACATTTCCCTCCATTTTTTGGGGAGAAAAAAGTGCGTCTTATGGAGCGAAAAATACTTTTGATTTTATATAAAAACCTTGTAAAACCTTTATCCCTAAAGGAAAAAAATTAACTGCAACTGCTATTATAATGTTAGCTGAAGTCTGGCTGCAATTTGCTAGTATATTTAAATCTTCTAGCACATCTAACACTCCCCTCACCCCAGACTAACAATGCTGCTGTCCAAAGGTGCCTCCTGTGCTCCTTCAGCCAGAGTGGGGATACTCTAATAAAGGAGATGTGTTACTGACCAGATCACCAGTTGAAAACAGACAAAAAAAGACTAAAAAAGAAAACGAATGCAGCCACCACATCAAATGATTGCTAAACTTCAATATATTACATTTTTAATTTTGGGATTAATAAACATTAAAGAATACGTAAACCTACCATTTCATATTCCTGACATGTGCCTACTGTACCATGTACTTGTATGAAAAAGCATCCTGTTGTATTTGTATTGCTTCCTTTGTTTTAAATCCAGGCCAATCCCTCTGCATTTATCAAAAACTGACCACACTAAGCAGGAGAGAGCCCAGCATGGTCAGTTATCTAGCTGTGCTGAGAACTCAGCTTGCTCTGTTCCAATGATCAAACTTGTGCTGACCCCCCCCCCCCACACACACACACACACACACACACACACAGCCACACAGATCAGTTTGCTGCTATTTCTCCTACCCCAGCTCTCTGAGCTATGCAGATGAGAACCAGGGTATGTGATCACTTATAAAAAGGGTTGAAAAAAAGCTATATATAAGGTTTTTTTAATATGTATACACAAATGTTTTGCCTTTCATTCCTATTTTAAACTGAATGGGTTGTTTTACAAGGTGAGGGTTTACATATAATTTAAGTTTTAGTGTTGGTTCTGACTGCTGCAGTGATGCACAAAAAACGTGTTTTACTGTGTGTGTGTTATTGCAATGCATGCAAACACAGGAAAGCTGGCCATACACCATTAGAATGGAGAAGGTTAATGTGGAATTTTATGGTCATGAACATTCCTTTCTTCTACCGACAATGTAAGGTACAGGAATGGTTGAAAGAACACAAAGGTTTCTGTATAGTGTATGCAAAAAACTGCAGTTATAAATAGATTCTAACACACACACGAATATATATATATATATATATATATATATATATATATACACTACTCAAAAAAAAATAAATGAACACTTTTTAATCAGAGTATAGCATCAAGTCAGTTAAACCCCTGGGATATTGATCTGGTCAGTTAAGTAGCAGAAGGGGTTGTTAATCAGTTTCAGCTGCTTTAGTGTTAACAAAATTAACAACAGGTGCACTAGATGGGCACCAATGAGACGACCCCCCAAAACAGGAATGGTTTTACAGGTGGAGGCCACTGAACTTTTTTTCCCTACTCATCTTTTCTGACTGTTTTTCACTAATTTTGCATTTGACTAGGGTCAGTGGCACTACTGGTATCATGAGGTGATACCTGGACCCTACATAGGTTGCACAGGCAGTCCAACTCCTCCAGTATGGCACATCAATGCACGCCATTGCCAGAAGGTTTGCTGTGTCTCCCAGCACAATCAAGGTCCCCATCAGCAGGACCAGTATCTGCTCCTTTGTGCAAAGAGGAACAGGATGAGCACTTGCAGAGCCCTACAAAATGAACTCCAGCAGGCCATTGGTGTGAATGTCTCTGACCAAACAATCAGAAACAGACTTAAATAGGGTGGCCTAAGGGCCCAACATCATTTAGTGGGCCCTGTGCCTACTGCCCAGCACCATAGAGCTCTATGGCATTTGCCATTGAACACCAGAATTGGCAGATCTGTGCTTTTCACAGATGAGAGCAGGTTCACCTTGAGCACAGGTGACAGACATGAAAGGGTCTGGAGGAGACATGGAGAACATTATGCTGCCTGTAACACCATTCAGCATGGTGGTGGGTCAGTGATGGTCTTGGGAGGCACATCCATGGAGGGACACACAGACCTCTACAGGCTAGAAAATGGTAATGCAGAATAGTACCAGTTGTACAGCTCCCGATGTACATAGGACAATGTCTTTTGGTGCACTGACTTATGAAGCTTTGTGCTCCCTGTGACTACCCTGTGACTGCATGCCATCTGTTGGCGTGTTACAAAACTAGTCTTTAAAATTTTTGATACCACCTCATATAGATTAGCCATTCCCAATTAAGGTTCCACCTAAGTTTCTAGGGGTTCCCTAAGCTGTGGCTGGTTGACCTCTTACCTAATGGACCCTGCATAGTTCCAGGTCTATGTAGGTCCACCAGGTTCACTTAACAGAGACAGTTCCATCGTTCCAGGTCCAATTAGGTCCACCAGATCCACTTAGTAGAGTCAGCAGCTTGACACCAATTATCTTTTTAGCCAGCTATTGGCATTCTCATCAACACTAAATAGGGAGCAACAATAGGTATTCTTCCCCATGACCCCAAATGTTTAATTTTAGCAGGGGTTCCATAAGATCCTACATCTTTTTCAAGGGTTCCTCTGTGGTAGAAAGATTAAGAATGGCTGGTATAGAGGTAATAACAAAGTCTTCCAATAATCATCTACCCATTCCAGAAATAACACTTTCAGGTGAACTTAAAGTTTAATACGTTTCTCAAGTAGGCAGTGTATCAGCTTTATTCTTTCCTTTCGTGACTCAAACCCCATAAGTACGGAGTTTATCTCAGGCTACAAAATTGAAATATACTAGGTTATATCATAGCAAATTCATGACTAAATCATACCAACTATCTCACAATCACAGAATGGAATTTTCTCCAAGGTTTAAGTCTAAGTTTAAACCAATCAGAAAAATGTTTTCTTGACAAACCTTTGTGCATGTTAGTATGAACAGGGGCGGACTGACAACTAATGGGGCCTCCGGGCAATAGGGGATCATGAGGCCCCTGTGTCCTTGCCCAAACTCAAAAAAGCCTATGAAAAAGGTACCAGGGGCATCTCATGGGGCCCCCTATTGACCCCGGGCCCTCGGGCAGTGCCCAAGTTTCCAAATGGTCAGTCCGCCCCTGACTATGAAATAAGTGGCCTAAGCATCTGAAGAGCTCATTAAAAGCAGCAAGTTTATTTGATATGTCTCTGTATTGTCTACTATCATAAAAACATAGTTGGGTTGAAGAACGTCATTAGTTTTTAATATTCAACCAAAAATGAAAAAAAAACAATAACTGATTCAGAGGAAGAAAGATAAACCTTATAAAGCATTGTCCAGATGGCTCTAATAGGGAAAATATTCCTTCCCAATCCCTGAATTCTACTGAATCATCCAGAACCAATTCCTACGCAAGACTATTCCATATTTTAACAGCTCTTATGCCCCTTTCACACCAGTGCCTCCATTCTGACTCAGTAGGGGATTCGCAGAGCTCTGAGGAAGAGGTTCAGCCATTCGGAGGCCTACAGTCCCCAACAGCCACCATCTAGGGAGATTGGACCATGCTGTCTTTTTGTGATGTGCCTTTGATTTTATTATTTTGTGAGTATACTACTTTTGATTCAATAAATCTAATTTTTAGAAGGTAATGCACTAGGCCCGTGCGCCCTCTGTTTGTTTCTTTGCACACATTCGCAGACCGATTCCTTGCCAAGCTGGATCAAAACAGAAACAGATGAAGGTGCAGAGAGTGTCTAGTACCTTTTCCAGCAACCTTAAAGAATACGTTCATCTTTAGCAAAACCCATATTCAGAGTGTAACATGTAACATGTTACTAAAGCACCTGCATGCGCCCTGACCTGGGGCGGACTGACAACTCATGGGGCCCCCGGGCAATAGGGGATCATGGGGCCCCTGTGTCCTTGCCCAAACTCAAAAAAGCCTATGAAAAAGGTACCAGGGGCATCTCATGGGGCCCCCTACTGACCTCGGGCCCTCGGGCAGTGCCCGAGTTTCCAAATGGTCAGTCCACCCTTGGCCCTGACTCATCACCCCATTATGACAGCAGGTGGGGGAGCCTCTCCCTGCTGTCACAATTCAAAATCTGTGCGGCCATATGGGGCTCTTCCCACACAGCTGTGTCATTGACTCACAGAGTTTTGTGAATGAATGAATGAACTACAAGTACCATCCTCCACCGCGGCAGATGGCTTGTAGTTCTAAATGAACCTACGAACGTGCTGGGGAGAGATCTTGTAGTTCATTGATCTTCTTGGACTTCAGTAACTGTATGCTCATATGGGAGGTATAAGCAGACAGCTATACTGACATTCTGCAGGAGCCTGACATTGCACCCACAATCTGCTGATTGAGGGTGCAATGCTGATTGAGGGTGCAATGCTTTAAAGGAAAAAAATAATAAATGCACATTTGCATGTGCATTTATTGTTTTTTTTTTTTTGTGAACTTTGGAACTCTTTTTCCCACTGAATTTTACAACGGGGACTATTTATATATTTAAAGCCCAACTGAACTTTCTAGAAAAGCCTAAAAAAGCATGCTGAACAGACTGATCCTTGTTTTCTATGTGGAAGCAATGATCTCTCTGCAAAAATCTGAAACA